CAACACTGCTGGTCTGCAAAGTGTTGAACATTTCTGAACGGATTTCCAATCTATAAAAAATATACCAACTCATTCTCATTGAACTTTAATATTACTAACAGCAACAAAAGGTCAGATTATAGATCTTTAAGTCTAAAAATCAAGCTTACACTTTTATGATCCACTTTAGAGGTCAAACATTCTCTTCCACTGTGAACAGGCTAGAGTCTATCAAAAGAGCTGATATTTCCACTTCATGTGGGATGCCAGTCTGAAGGTGGTTATAACTATTGTAGTAACTACTCTGAGCTGTAAACTAGGGCATCACAGGGCCATTTGTCTGTGGGAATTACATTAGAAAAAGTACAGTGGAGCAATCACAGGTAACAAAAAAGAAATGTTAATTTCTAGTTACATCCCCATCTCCCCAAATTAATTGTCTATGGTAACAATTTTTTTTAAGAGAAGGGGTCTCACTACATTGCCCAGGATGTCCTTGAACTCCTGGGCTCAAGCAATCCTGCTGCCTCAGCCTCCCATGTAGCTGGGATTACGTGCTTATGCCAGCACATCTAACTCATGGTAACATTTTTACAAATCCCCTTTACTCTCCTCCCCATCTTAGCCAAATTCTCTAGCACACCAAAGATGCTCTTGTGTTACACTAGCTATTTACATTTTAATTAATTGAAATTAAATAATGAACAGCTTTTCAGATACAATAGCCACTTTCATGTGTTCAATAGCCACATGTGGCTAGTGTCTATGCTATTAGACAGCGCAGATCTAAGGACATCTATTGTTGGGCATTCTATTGGATAGAGCTTATCTAGATAAAGTTTCTCTTTTGCCGAACTTTAAAATCCTCTCTGAAATATAAGCTTACCTTGCCTTTCTCTCTCTTTCATCCTGACATTCTTCAACAATCTCTCCATTATACAAATTAGTTTAGCCTCTCTTCTTTTTTTCTACACTTAGTCAATTGCCAGATTCTCCATTATGAAGGTCCCAGGAAACTGACACAACCAGCATGAATTCTCCTACACAAGGCTTTCTTTTGATTCTATAACTCTATACATATGGAAATCAAGACACTTTCCAGGGGTTGTATACAGGAAAATGTACACATCAAAAAATGATGTTTGTGTGCGCTCCTCATATACATTAGCCTTAACTAAACATAAATACTGGCAGCAAAGTGGTTCAAATAGACTGTCAGCTGCTTCTTTATTTTTAGCATAGGTATGGAGTGATACCACTCATTGAACCTGTACAGAAAGTAGGTATTGGTACTAAATTAACATGAACTACTTGATAACCGAGTGAATGATTCTCCAAGTCACCATGAGTTGTTGGAAGATTTATATGTTGGTCATTTACCTTTTTGTTCTCAAATGCATTCTATATCCATTCCCTGCAAACTGTGTCAACTGGCTTCCAGCAAGATTTGCCCATTGGAAGGCGCTGATGGGAGATCAGAGAACAGTTGAAAGGGAGATGCCAGGGTATCTCCTCCCTTCGAGGCAGCCTTTCCAGCCCTTCCTGCAACTCCTTTATTTTTCCTTCTCCTACCAGATGGGTCCTCCAGCCATGTCCAGCTTCTGCTAGATGGCCCAGCTGTTTGGTTCTGGGACTACTATCTTCTCTTTTTGTCCCTCTCACCCAGAGGAGTGCTGGCTCCCTTAGGGGGTTGGGGAAAGGGCAGAAGCCTTGATGTGAAATACTCGCCAGTGTCTGTGGTGCAAAAACACCCTGACTTGCAAAATTCCTGAATATGTAACAGTGTACTCTCAGGAGACTATGTAAGCTGACTCCAGCACATGACTACTCCATCCCTAAGTAGAGTTCCTGTTGGTTTCTTCACAGCCCCTGTTTAGTTTCACAATATTTTCAGCTTCTTTATTACTAATTATCTAAATTATTTCTCTTAGCCACCTGGCATGGTCTTTATTTTCTTGATTATAACCTTACTGTATATTGTTAAGAGAGCAAAATTTGTTCAACTACTTCTCAAGTACCGGAATATAAATGAACCATATGACTAAGCATGCTAGAAATTAAGCTGATATTACTGGTTACAGAGTGAGACTTTCTAGATAAAGGAAGCCATGAATCAATTTAACTGTAGCACAAGGTTCTTATCACTGTGCACGGGAGGCAAAGTTTGTGGTAGCTGTGTGCTATAGAACACTGTAATAGCACACTCTGGAAAAGCTATTTGACAATATGTGTCAAAAGCCTCAAAAGCTTCCTATTTTTTTGTCCTGCCAGTTCTACTTTAACGGAATCTCTTATAGGAATTCATGCAAAAAGAAGGGAAAATCCTCATGCACAAAGACGTTTATTGCAGTATTACTTAAAATAGGGTAAATTTGGAAGCAATTTCAAAGTGAAAAAATTGGCAAATATAAATCCATTTGATGAGATATTGTGCACCTTTGAAATTACAATGACCAATATTGTAGAAATGCAAGGAAAAGCACATACTACTAAGCAATAAAATTAGGAAAGAAAATTTTGCAAGCATGATAATAAACATATGAGAATAAACATGCCAGCAAAAAAGGACTAAAAGAAATATATACAAATAATGATTGAATTATGTTAGGGGTTATAAGTAGATGAATTTCTTACCTCTAATTTCCAAGGAGTTATTTTTTATAATGTAGGCATTTCATTTAGTTTTGTTAAATAAAAAATGATGAGACCTACTGACATAGTCAATGAGAATATTTAGAAGGAAAAAAAAGATACTATGCATTAAGACACCCCTGAATACTGTTTGATATTTACATTCTAAGCCTTTGATAGGCCTGAAGTTAAATTATGATCCCCAATCTGCCTGTCCGCATTCATTTTCTATGTATGTTGCCTCCTCACCTAAATTTTACCTGCTAACTGCTATCAAGCCTCTTTTTCAAAGAAGTAGCTGGTATCGCATATCTACATACAACTAAACATGGTGTCTCTCAGGTCTTTTCAATCTTCTTTCTACTAAACATTAGAAGACTGTCTCTTATAGGGGCACCTCCTGGCTGTCTATAAACAGGTGAGAGAAGTATCTAAGGCTTAAAGAATTTGGTCCATGGGACCCAAAACAGGTCTATTTATTGCCCTGATCAGCATGGATTCAAATCCCTTATTCCGAATACTTGAGTTTCTTAGAATAAGAACTCCTTCCCCTACTACATCCTCTTCCCCTCCCTATTTCCATTCACCTCAGCTAGATCTTTAAAAACAAGGCTTACTTAGACCAGGTACCTAGATGCAAAAAAGAAAAAAAAAACAACTTAAAATCAGTCCCCATCCAATTTGTTTTGAATTTAAAATAAACAAACAAAACCTAGCTTCAGAATTCAACCTGCAATGTTGCCACACAAACCTCCAAAGACTGATACCAGTGTCCGACATAACTGTAAAATAACAGCCAAGATCTCAGATTCTGGAGTGCCAATGTATGGGTTTCAATATTTGCTTTTCCACTTACAAGCTGACTGCTCTTGGGAAAATCCTTAATCTTTTTGTCTTTCTGTTTCCTTGTCTATGAAATGGGAATAGTATCTCACAGAATTTTGAAAGCACTAAATTGGTAATTTCATGTAACGCACTTAGACTAGTGTTTGGCACTTAAAAAGTACCCAACAAAGTTTAGGTCATCCTGTTTTAGGTTCTTGCTCCAAAAAATAAATACATCCCCTACTAGGTCCATGATCAGTTAGAGTGTAGCAGGCACAAAAATGAGTAAATCCTTCCCAGAATAAACTATTAAAAAACCCAAGTCATCTCTCAACAACTTGGGGGTCCATCACTCTTTGAAGAATGACTCACAGAAATGCCATTCCATTCACACTACTGCCAAGGGAACAGCCGCCTTGCACAAGCACAGCAAACTGTGTGTGTCAGGAAACATTCTAAGTGGATATTTTACGCATGAGTTTTTGGGAATGTCCGAATGTGATTTTGCCACCTTTCAAAGTTAGTTAAACTGCATGCTGGCCTTTTGAACTTACAGGCCCCCAGCTTTTTCCTCCTATTTCTGCCATCCCCATCTCCTTCCTGATGAATCTACTCATGACTTCCACATGTAGGATTCATCTTTCTCCAGTCCTCAACCAAGTCAGACTGAGGTAACCATCCCACTCAGCCCCATTAACCCATGGGGCTTAGAATGGGTCACGTCTTCAGTCCTGAGGACTGGTTTCATTACCATTATTGGGTTTCCATGTGGCTCTCTTGGGTCTGCAACACTTTCTAGAATTTATGTTTCTGTATAGACTGTGACTTGTCCTGTGTCAGCTCCATCTAACAGTCACCCTTTTTTGGGCTTGGTCAGAGAACTGGACTTCATGAGTCTTGGTCCCTACTTCCCAGTTATGGCCAGCTACCCTGGATAATAAGTAGCCCAGCCCAGCTCCAAAAACTGGAGCTGGCCCCTCTACCGCGGACCGAGACTTCATGGGACTGACTTGCTCATAACTGTTCTCTTGGTTCCCTCTCTCAATTCAGGACCTATGGATAGGACTCTCAGCTAATGAACTCATTCCAACTGAGTAGTCACTTCTCTCTCAACCCCCTAAAACTTGTTTCCTTGGAGCTACCATCCCCAAAATTCTAATTAAGTCTAATCTGAACTCTGCCTTGACCACAAGACTTAGTCTGTGAAACCAGTTTTCAGAACTTTCTCATCACAACCTATTCTGGGGTCTGGGTTCATGTCTGTTCCTGGTCCTCTTGCTACCTATGTGTTGCCAATGAGTGGGCATAGGATGAAGAGTATATTGTGAATATTTCTTGATAATTAACAAAAACACCATAAAAGTCTTAGGCAAATTAAGAGTAAATGTCAAAAAACCCACAGCATCAACACAGCAACATCAAAACATCATGATAGAAATATGATGATATTCACTTCTGAAATGTTCTAGCTCATCAAAATAAACCACCTGAAGATATAAAATTTCAAAACATTTTTGAGCCAATCATCCAGCCATGCCTCTGTCCATTTCCTTGGACATGCCTACCTCAAACCACTGCCCGTGAGACTGCATCTTGAGGATGACACAGGGATCTGGTTTGGAAAGTGCATCTCTGTCAGAAATGCCTTTGCACGCCACACGCAGCTCAACTTTGGTCAGGCAGGGGCTGTTAAAGATTCCCAGTGTGTTGGCAGCTGACTCATAAATGTTGCTCATCTTCTTCATTCTGTTTTAGGCAAGTAAAAGAAGAAAAAAGATGTGCCAATCACCGCAATATTTGTCAAAGGAGAAAGCCTCCCAATCACCCTTCAGAAAATTTGACACACAGTTTCAAACATTGAAGGTATTTATCTCACTTTCCAACCCAGTGACACAGTTCCAGTGAAGCAAATCAAAACAAACAAACAAAGAAAACACAGGTGCTGGTGCACTTGGCTAAGAATAATATTTTCTTGAATGATTTGCATACATTTGCATAGTAAAATTTTTGGTCTGTGAAATACAATTAATGAATTAGTTCAATAGACTGCAAACTGTAATCCAGCTCTATAGTAAGTGCATGGATTGTGTGAAATTTTACAGATTTGTTGGTTCATCAATTTAATCGCAGTTCAAGTTTTCAAGACTAAATATCCAGCTTAACTCCTATGTGATGGCATGGAAAAGTACATTGTTCTTTCTGAAGAAACAGCCAAATTTCCCATCCCTAAAGCTTTGCCCATCTCTCAAAATGCCATCAGCAAGCCAGCTCCAAGACAGAGGCCCAGCATCTGAGTCCCTGTCCCCAAATTCATGATCCCATTCTCACCTTTCCCTTTACCACTCCCACTTGCCATATCAGAACTCAAAATCAAAATGGGGAAAGTGACGGGGAGGAAAAGCACAAAGCTCCTATTCTGAACTTGTAGAAACAGCAGCTACATTTAAGCACTGCAGGCCACCTCTCCATCTCCATGTGATACCCTTTATAAAAACACTTTGCATTCCACAGCCCCAGTGATCCACCAGAGGCCATCAATGCTCTCCTTCTCTGAGAGGACTAGACCTATAAGATTCTCTTAGGAGCAAAATTCAATACCTTGCTTATGGGATTCTGTGTCCTTGTAGATTCATTAGGGAAAATTACAACCTCACATGGCACTGGTGGTCTGCAGTGGAATTTCTTCATCTATAAAATGGGAATAATTCCTCTCTCTCCTTCCCTTCTTTCACAAATATTTAGTGAGCTTCCCCTTTGTAGCAGCACTACACTAGGTTCAACTGAGTACACCATACATTACGCACACACACACACGCACGCATGTACGCACGCACCAAGAATGTTTTATTGGAACACAGGCATGCTCATTTATGTAGTTATCTGCGGTTCCTTTCACCACGATGGCAGAATTGAATAGTTGCAATAGAGATTGCATGGCCCACAAAGCCTGAAATATTTATTTATTTTTGAGACGGAATTTCGCTCGTTACCCAGGTTGGAGTGCAATGGCGCGATCTTGGCTCACCGCAACCTCCGCCTCCTGGGTTCAGGCAATTCTCCTGCCTCAGCCTCCTGAGTAGCTGGGATTACAGGCACGCATCACCATGCCCAGCTAATTTTTTGTATTTTTAGTAGAGACGGGGTTTCACCATGTTGACCAGGATGGTCTCGATATCTTGACCTCGTGATCCACCCGCCTCGACCTCCCAAAGTGCTGGGATTAAAGGCTTGAGCCACCGGCCTGAAATATTTATTATGTGGTCCTCTTTAGAAAATGTTTACCAACCTCTGCTCTAAAATATTAGGTAAGGGAAATTTGTGGTTTTGAAGAGTTGCAATTCTGGTTTTAATATGTGTTGAAAAATTGGTTTTAGGGTGAGAGCTGCTCTATCTTCTACCAGAGTGAACAATAATAGGAATTTTGGGACATTTGTTTTTTACATATGAGAAAATTCAAGCTCAGAGAGGACTGGCAGCTTGCCCATATTGTGCAATTATTCTAATGCAGAGCTGGGGCTGGAGTACCAGTTTTCTATCTCCCAGCCCAAAGCTATTTTTTTTTTTTAACCACAGGTAAAACCTTTAGCTGGAGAACTATTCAGATGTACCAAGGAACAGTGGATACAACAAATAACCTTGATTTATTTCAACCTCTGTACAGAATCATACATCCCTTCTATTTGTAAACAAATTCTATTTGAATACAGGAAATGCACAGATTATAAGTCTATAGCTTCATAAACTATTTTCCTCTATTTCTACAAGTTGTGAGCAGATCATTCACTACAGCAACAAAGGTGACAGAGTATACAGAAAATGAAATGTACGAAAAAGCAATGGGAGGGAAAGAATCAGCTGGTGGAAAGATGGCTTTGTTCAGACAGGTTTGTAAGTATGTTGCAGACGCTATTTATCAACTGTTTGATAAAAGCAGCTTATTCTTCAATCAATATCTTCCTGAATTCTGCTTTCCCAATGCATTAACTGGCTCCTTGGAATCTTTATATATGAGAAAATCCTCATCTGTAGCCTTCACTGGCCTCTCCCATCTCTAAGAGCCATCACTGTCCCTTCTAACTTTCCCTATCCTTGTAGGCTCATGCCGTGTTCATCTCTTCCAAATCCACAGTTTAAATATGTGTTAGAAAATACATATTGTATGTAAAATACTATGTGAGCTATGATAAAATGGGACATCTCTAATACCAGTCTTGATTGTGAGGTATAATACAAAAAGACTGTGTCAAGGAGACACATAATTCCAAATTCGAATCTTGACTCCTCCATTCACTGACCTTGTGTCCTTGGGCAGGGTATTTCATCTCTCAGATGGTAATACCTATCTTGAAAAGTTGCTGTAAAGAACAGATTAAATAATATACACAATGTGATTACCACAATACCAGCTATATTGTGAATGCTCCAAAGGTGGTAGCTATTATTACTGTGTTCTGACTTATCTTCAGATAAAATCATCCATGCTTTTACTACCAACCGAAAACCTTTTAGATGACTCACTATTAAGACCAAACTTCTAAAAGCCCATTTAAATGTCTTCTCTATTTGAAATCTGCATAAACTGAGCATACTACCCTCCATCTAAGAGCACATAGTCATTCTTCAAATCAGTTTATTGAGGATTCATACACATGAACCAATAACTCTCACAGGTTCACAAGTCAGACAGTAAAACAATGGTGACAGCTCTTCTAATATTGTGAGGCTGCTTTATAAACTTCCTGAGACAGACAATTTATTCTTCAATCAGTGTTCTTGCCAAAGCACCGGCTGGCTCTATGGGAACCCTATATTCCATAAAGTCCCTCTCTTGGTCCATATAAAAGTTAGTCACATGTTTTGTGCAATTCACAAGACATCTGATGGGAATGACAGGATTCCCACAATGCAGAGATTCAACTGTCTCATCCTCCCTCATTTATTCATTTGCAGGTTGTTACAACAGTTTTGGTTCACATAGGCCTGGTTAAGTGAATTTCAGATGACAATATTTAGTTTTAACTACCCCTACCTCCCCAATGAATTACTGCAAGGAAATCTTATTAAATATAAAAAAATACTGTAGGCAACCAAACACCACGAAATAGCAGAGGTGACATATTTCTCTTAGTCTGGGGTTCCTGTTGGCCATCATACTTTCTTAAATTGGTGGCAATCTTATCACACATGTTAATAGTTGCTCAAGATAATAAAAAAGTATCAAGGCTTCTTGAAATATGGATTGACATACACAATCACTGATAGGATATTCTATACCAAGTGAATGCTCTTCTTGCTCTGAGTTATTAATGATAGTAAATTTAAGTAGTTTATAAAGGAATAAATATATGAACTGGAGGCACATGTTTAGAGTTTTTTTGATAAATGGAATAAATGATTCCAAAATTTTATGGATCACTTCGTCAAGCAATGGGAAACAAAAGATTTGCAGCTATGAAATGGGCACAATCAAATAAATATTTGATAAAGATCAGTCTAGTACTAATATGATGGTTGGACTGCCGGAGAGAAAAACATTTGTGATTATATGAGGCTGTTTTGCTGGTCACTTCTATTCCTACTTTTCCCATTGTTTCTACTTTTTTCCCTCGGCTCAGGGCTCTAAAAGGCTTACTCTGTTGACTGCCAGCCCATTGTTGGCAAGTGTTATATTGGGTTTCACTAAAAGGATGCAGTTTTGGGGAAGGGAGGAGAGAGAGAACAGCATATTTCTTCCCAACTCCTACCTGATCTTTAGCAGTAGCCAAGCAAATGACCATAGCTCTATCGGCAAACCTTCAGATTTCACTGGCCTTGGTAACACTGTTTCTTCCCCTTACTCCTTTAGGCTTAGGGGTAGTAACGTTTTCTTGCCAGTCGTATTAAAGTGGACATCCTAGAAGCAAATCCTGAAACAAGGATTCAGAAGCACTTAATTTCCTTCTCTCAGAGGAGGGAAGAAAAGTACAGGAAGCAAAGAGGTGGTCTCAGCTGGAGTCCAGCTTCAATTTGATTCCATGGGAGCTCTGGGACATGAATTGTACCCTTGAGGAAAGAGGTTCAGCCTATTTTAACTCCATGTGAGAGTGTCATGCTAGGGATGGGGGGTTGGGGTGGGACATAAACTCTTAGATTTGTTGCTTCCTTCCCATGGCTTAAAGCAATCAGGTATTCCCCAGAAAAGGGGAAGCTGTGAGCCGTTATCAGTCAACACTTGTAGTCCTTGAGGGAGGGATGCACAACTGGATAAAGGGCATCTAGGCAGAATGTCATCAGGGTCTATTTTACCACAATGACTGCTCTCTGGGAACCTCCCTATACATTCCTTTATCTTTCATCACATAACTGTAAATGTTCTTCTCATTAAAATCTCTTGAATCAATATAGATGATTCTGTTTCCTATCTGGAACACAACTAAACTAGAACAGTACCACTGGAACAAAAATTAGGAGTGGGGTGGCAGACAAAGGCTAAGATGGCCACCTCCTGGTATTTATGCCCTGTGTGATACCCTCACGCCTTGAGTGTAAGTGAGATCAGTGACTTAGTTTTAACCATTAAAATATGGCAAAAGCAATGGAATATCACCTCTGCCATTACGATGTGCATCAGATAATGACACCTCTTGCTAAGGGCTCTCTACCTTGTTGGCTTTAATGATGTGGCCATGTTGGGAGGCAAAGGACTGAGGGTAACCTTCATCCAATAGCTAGCCAGAAACTGAGACTCTCAGTCCAACACACTGCAA